TTTATTACACAGGTCCTTATGGTCCTGGCTCCATATCCATTCTGGGGAGCGTCAGTCCGGTTCGCGTCAGTCCGGTTCCTGTCCACCGGCAAGTCGAGAATTGGAATACATGGTGAACACTCTCACGCTTCCTTCCGTCTGGAAGAAGGAACCCTGACCAGCATTGATTGCTCCTATGTGGGAGGATTGACTGTCAGCTTGCCCTACCACTTTTCCTCTCAGAATCCATTGTGATTCTGTCATGTAATTTGTGTGCAACAAGGAAAGAGGAGAGTTGTCTATATTGCTGAGACTATGGTCTCAATTTGCCCATCACTGGATGGTCGTCCTTGCTGGAGTTTTGCTGTGCCATTTCTTCCAGATCAATCTGTTATCTGCCACTGTTGCAATCTTTCCCTGTAGAAGCCAGTCTCTCATGAAAGAACGCCTCTTGGTAGCTAGCCTTTCTGGTCTGATTTTCGTTGTTGATGTCACCTCCCTCCATCTGCACCGAATCTCAGTTTCCGTCATACCGAACAGTAGGGCCCACATTTCTTCCCTTGCCACCTCCATTTTCTCGATAGTCTTGGTACACCTCCTTTTCCAGATCACCCACAGAGCCAGCTTCCTGAGAAGGTGAAACCAGATTTCCTTGCCGCCTTTGAGATTGTTAGTAATGTTGGATAAAAGGAGGATGTTCTGAGTAGATGTGGGGGGAGGCGGTGATGAGAAGAGGAGGGACCATAGGTTGCGGACCTTGTTCCAGATCCAGGCTGCTTCAGTGCAGTACAAGAGGCGGTTGGGTATGTCTTCTGGTCTATTGTCTGTGCACAGATCACATAATTCGGAGCTGTTGGGATCCGTATGTTTTCTCCTCTTGTGGAGCCATTGGTTGACGGGCGGAGATGCGTGGGCTACGAGCCACTGCATGCTTCGGATCCTAATATACATATGATTCCTAATATCATCTATAGATATTATTTATTACATTATATATAAAAGAATAATGAAATAAGAATAATAGGAATAGAATTCAACGAATATGAGTATAGACTAAGTAATTAAGGAATATATATTTGTCATGATAAATTGAGTATTTTGTATTTCTATGTCCTAACCGGTCTGACGGACAGGTACTTCATCCAGGGGATGGAAATGGGGTCCGTAGGTTCTAGGTAGGATCTCCCGCCATTTTTCTTTGAGTCTGGGATCCGGGACATCGTATTCGAATATTGTTCTCGTTCTCCCGGATTTTCCCTGTTTCCAGATCCACAGTTTCGGGTCGAATTTGAAGTCCGAAATGCCTTGGCACAAAAAAGGATGTCATAGCTCCCACGCCCCATTCGAAATGAGATTCGAATGGTTCACCGGTACGAATCCGTCGGCGGTCGGGTGAGACTAACTAAGCAGGAATGCGGCGTGGCATGCGTGCAAGACTGGTTATTTGATTTAGTGGTTCGTATAGCGCATCCCGCTCGACTTCATGGATACCAAAGTCAAAGAAGAATAGGGAATAGCCCAGTAACCAGTAGTCATGCCTACCGTCAGCACTCCTGGATTGATCAGCGCCCGACCAGCCAACCGTTCCACCGGTCGGCACCTGTCGGTCGGCAACGCGCCACGGGGAAAAAAAAGAAAAAAGTGGGGTCCATAACCTCAAATAACCCCACCAACACACCCCCATGCCGCCCATCAACACCCTCACACCCCCCCCATAGCACCCTATCCCCTCCCTATACCCCCCCCCATACCCCCCCCTCCCATCCTTAGCAAGCACAGAAGAGCCGAACTCAGATTTTGAAAAAGATCAGTGGATGGCCCTCTAGGGATTTGTCGGCAGGCTGTAGCTTTCTCCGAGGACCTAGAAAATAGGTAAGTGGAGTGAAGGATTTCACGCAATTCTGAACCTAAGTCCCAGTTCTGATCCCAGAATTTCCAGAGTCCCATGCCCTGTGTATCAGAACCGAACGGACAGGTCCAGTCCACGGTAGCTGCCGTAGGGTCCAGTAGGTAACCCATACAGATAAATTGGAAGGTCGCTAGGCCTGGTCAGTTCACCTACAGTAAGGGTCCAAAAAGTAGGAGTTGAGTCCTTGGAAATTCCGGTCGCTACCAAAACCATCAAAGCAGCTGCAGTCGGCACGTCAGGGACCGGTACTGGTATAAAACTCAAGATTGGGAACTGCAACAAGTTACAAAAGTCCGACAGCAGCCAGACAACAACACAGTTCCCATTCCAGCATGTCACCAAAGTGGTGCGCTCTTGTGCAGTCAAGGGTCGCGTGAGGCTGAGGGAAAATCGAGTAGGGAAGTTGATGGCGCCCCACAACCATAGCTTAGGGCGTCAGTGAGGGAACTGAGAGAGAGAATGAGAGAGAGAAGACATCCACACACAGACACACAGAGAGAGAGAGAGAGAGAGAGAGAGAGAGAGAGAGAGAGAGAGAGAGAGAGAGAGAGAGAGAGAGAGAGAGAGAGAGANAGAGAGAGAGAGAGAGAGAGAGAGAGAGAGAGAGAGAGAGAGAGAGAGAGAGAGAGAGAGAGAGAGAGAGCTTGAGTTGCCTTGGTGTTAGGGAGGAGCCATAGCCTCCCTAGTTCATACAAGAGACTCTGGTGTATGAGACTTTGATTTTCAAAACAATTTCCGCTGTGTGGGTTCCGAGCACCCCCAGCGCCAACAAAAAAACAGAAAATGAAATCTGAAAAATAACAAATGTTGTGTAGAATTGCAATGCAATCGACTTTTGACTGAGGGTCACATCAGAATTCCTCACAGATTCGGAGATAAAAAAGAAAATAACAGAATCACACTGAGGCACCCCCTTTAAACCCCTTTAGCCTAGGCTACCAGAGTGGCCCGGGACCAGTTGCCCAGCCAGGCCCAAAAAACATAATAAAAATAAATATATATTTTTTAATTTATTTCTTATTTGAAATTTGGTAAAGAATTTCGATGTGACTCTGAGGCAAGAGTTGTTCAGTTTATTTTTCTGCATAGCATAGTTTCTTTTCGGATTTTTCGGATTTCTTTTTTTTTTCTTTTTTTTTTCTTTGCTGGGACCTTCCCTGGTCCTCGCACAGCCCGGCCGCCTGGGAGAACAGGGTGACCCGGATGGCCCGGCTGGTAGCCTAGCCTTTAGCCCGTTCAGAACCAATTTATACCCCCTCCCCCCTCCTCCCCCTTGACAGCCAACACTCCAAAAAACAAAAGAGCCTGGATTTGGGGTCGCGTAGGAGAACGCAGAAAATCAAAAATAAAAATAAAAAAAATTGCACTCCCGGAGTCCCGGGTACCCCGGGCATCAGACCTACCCGGCCGGCCGGACATGACAATCTTCCTAGCCCCAAAGCAGTTTCACTGTGCTCTAAATTCTTAAGTATTGCTATAAAGGTTCAGCACTTGGCTTTCTTGTGCATGCTACTAAACCCCCAATTTTTACTTGGCTGACCCAAAACAAAAGAAGCAGTAAATTGCCGGTAACAACCACTCCATCATCGATGAATAAGTGCAGTTGTTTTCTGTCATTTTCCTCCAATTTATTTTGATTCGCACACTGTTTTCCATTTGCGCATATCCAGGCTTTACAGTCGCTCCATAAGCTTTCTGTTACTCCTGATATAGTTACCTTATCTGACTATATCTGCTATATCACCCAAGGTCATAACAGAATGAAAGTGTATGCCCCTCTTCAAGCAATTCCAGCTACTGATTTTGTAGACCTACCAGTCCTCAGAAGCAGGAGCAACTCCACTAACTATGACTGCACACAAAGAGAGCATTGGATATTTCGAGTTCTCTTGTGCCACTATCATTCTGTGACGGATTGTACTATTCTGTATGCTGCTCCTCACTATCCTAGCCCCATGACCGCACCACACACAGGGCAACTGCGACAGAAGATTAAGGAACTGCACTTGGCAGGTAGGATGTAGTTTCACCTTACTCTCAAAATTGGAAAGGGTGTAGGACCATGAGTCCGGCAAATACTTCTTGCTGATGTGGACCTTGGCAGGTGTTCTGAACGGGCAGCCAACGCCTTGCTCCCTCTGTCAGAGAAAGAATCCAGGCACAAATCAGATATTAGGCACGTCATTCTTGCTTGGTGGCTGAATGGTACACATGGAACTGCTACCTCCTTCTGTAGAGGAATTTGACACCATCCTCAGATTGCAGTGACTCAGTCCTTCCAAAGTTTCTTTTGTTTTATAACTTTTAAGTTTTAACTTTTAAGGGTGAAAAAAAAAACTTCAAAAAAGATTTGGCTTCTTTTCTACTAGCAAGTCACAATTACAACATATCATTTTCAGATGCTTCCTTCCATTATGGCCGAGGGGACCCCGGATCATTGAGCGCCCCTTGCAAAGGAAGATTAACTGTCAGGTAAGTTAGGTAACCCTTCTATTTTTCTTACATTACCATATACAAGCCTCTACCAGATTGGCATTGCAGGGGTGGGGCGGATATCACGGCCGGTATGGTTCCGCTTTTGAACACCGTGTCCTGGCTGTAGTGGTTACGATACTTGGCTCTTGACGCTGAGGTCGTCGATTCGAGTCCGTGCTTGCACGGAGGAGGGCTGAGGCCCACAGAGGTACAGATCCAATAACATTAGAAAGCTCCCGTGAACTGGCGGGCAGTTGTTGAAGTCCTGCATAAATGAGCGCGCTATACTACTGATGGGGGTCATGTGCTAAGTGTGCGGGATTGTCAGCGTCGTGTGGTGTTGTGTGGTGTGTGTGTTGAGTTTGGATACTACAGCCTTGCAGGGGTGGGGCGGATATCACGGCCGGTATGATTCCGCTTTTGAACACCGTGTCCTGGCTGTAGTGGTTACGATACTTGGCTCTTGAGGCCGAGGTCGCCGGTTCGAGTCCGTGCTTGCACGGAGGAGGGCTGAGGCCCAGAGGTACAGATCCAATAACAATAACATGAAGAGATGGAACCTTTCAGGATTTTGTGATAAGAACAGCTCCTTGGTGTCATTTCCAAATTGGCCTCTGTGCATCCTGCTGTTGACCTCCTGTTTCTCTCCCCACACTCATTGAGTTATTGCAGTTGTTGAACTTCAGGTACAGACCACAAAACTAACAGTCCATTTCCCAGCTAGGTTGCCCTGATGCCGCGGTTAACCCGCCGCAAATCACGGGTCGGGCCTACCGGACGGAAAAGGCTCGCAGCAACAGGCAGAAAGACTCAATTCCATGCCCGCGCCAGTTTGTTTTTCTTTGGCGCAGCAGAAATCCGCATTGGAAGAAAGAGCCTCAGACTAGTGGTTTACAGTTTGCCTCTTTCACACCTGACAACCCCATCGGTTGAACTTCAGCCTTGATCTGTCGGTCCTCATCCGGTTTTCTTTTCCATAATCTCTTCGCCACGTCTACACTTGCATCTTATGCCCGTCTCTACTAGACTCTGAAGCCCATACTGATTCTCCGCTCATTGTATTATTTCTACGCCGCATCTCTCTTTCCGTATCATGCAGTTGCACCTCCCTCCATATCTTTTCTGGCTTGAGAAGGACGAGGGAAAGGTTAGTCCCATACATGCAGGCGGACGCCGTGCGGAAAATAACCCGCCGCAAATCACGGGTCGGGCCTACCGGACGGAAAAGGCTGGCAGCAACAGGCAGAAAGACTCAATTCTGTGCCCACGCCAATTTGTTTTTCTTTGGCGCAGCAGAAATCCACATTGGAAGAAAGAGCCTCAGACTAGTGGTTTACAGTTTGCCTCTTTCACACCTGACAACCCCATCTGTTGAACTTCAGCCTTGATCTGTCGGTCCTCATCCGGTTTTCTTTTCCATAATCTCTTCGACACGTCTACACTTGCATCTTATGCCCGTCTCTACTAGACTCTGAAGCCCATATTGATTCTCCGTTCGTTGTATTATTTCCACGCCGCATCTCTCTTTCCGTATCATGCAGTTGCACCTCCCTCCATATCTTTTCTGGCTTGCGAAGGACGAGGGAAAGGTTAGTCCCATACATGCAGGCGGACGCCGTGCGGAAAATTCCGCACATTTGGCGCATGAGCAACCGTGCGGCGCATGGGGAAAATATTCACTTGAAAAAAAAAGGGGTCGCATGGCTGGGTCAATGGTCACCTGCGTCCCCTTTAAAGATTTGTCG